AAATGCACATTTGAATATCATGCACTGCAGGAGGATTTTTGCTTTCATGTACGATCAATGCTATCAGCGGCACTCAGAGCTACAAGGCACTCAAGGAGGCAGTAGAGAAGGAGAAATCGGAAGTCGGAGAGCTGCTTGTGCTGCTCCGTTGAGAGTTTTTCTCTCACTCAGACTGATGGAATTCCCGCGGTGGTGATGAACAAGCCTCCGACAATGCGAGGGTCTGTGAGGATACCATGCAGCAGTGAATCTACTGTAAACGGAATTGGGGTGAGGGAAAGGAGATTAATATCAGACACCGCGATCGACTTCGACGGCTCATGCATCACAGGGCTGTCGTAATGCTCCTGAAGATAGAAGCGTTGGTAAGAACGTGTGTGTGGGAAACTAAGCACATGATCAACTATGTGTGTTGGTGACAATATTAACATTGTGGGGGAATTCTGGGAAATTCTGTACACATTCACCCGAAAATCCGCATGCTAAGTTCTATAATTAGTAAGGAAACTTGCACTCCCATTGGAATTTATATGTGAATTTCTATAATTAATGAGGGCACTCCTGAGCTCAGTTGAAGACAGCGAACGTATATTCACAGATTCGTCTGTTGAGATGAAACTAAATGAAATGCGGAAGAAATTTGCCATACCGCCATCACCACGGCGACTAGAGTAAGTTCATGCGTCGGCGGTTGCGAAGGAAATAGAAAATTTGTTTCAAGGCGTGAAGCATCTGGAGTCACTGGTCGGTCATCGCGGACTTCCATTCGGGCTGTCGCGGAAGACTCACCGCGAGTATGGGAGAAATCACTGTTACGCACGGCACAGTCAGTCAGAACATTGCGAGATGATGTACAGGAATCGGTCTGGTGTGGTTTTTGTTATTGGGAAATTTTTTTCAGGGGTCGTTCGTGGCAGATCGACAGCCGAGGCGTGTGGCTCCTCTGCCATTCACGATGGGAGATTTGTCTATTTATGAACGGCGATGAAGAGTTCATGCTGAAGATCGATGTTGTGTTGAATTTCGTGGCGCGCGAAATTTCTCGGAACACTCCGCATTTCGTCGGCCAGCGATGGTCTGGGTACTGATAGCATGAACATTGTTGGGATATATGTTCGCTTTCCTCAGCTGAGCTCAGTTGAGCTTCCTCACTAATGATTGAAGTTTACGTACGAATTCGGGTAGAAGGGCACAGAATCCTATGAGAACTCTCCCAAATTTCCTCCTTTGTGTTTTTCCATCGCTTGTGAAAAGTGTTGCATCACCACTTTATTTTTTTCAGAGCACCGAGAGGGATATTGAATCAGTTGAGCTGTATCTTATTACGCGGGCGCTTTCTCTTCAGCCGAGCGGTATGCTCGCAATGACGTATTGAAATGTGAACCCCGAGCCGAGGCCTTGATAGGTGATAAACAATAAACAAACTATTTCATTACAAAGTGTCACGGAAACCCCAGATACTAGTGCGAGACCGTAAGGCAGAGCTAGAGTCCCAAGATGAATCTTTCGACGGTTTCACTGGAGACGAAACCACTAATTAAGTATATATGATATGATGACGATTAGTATGTGCCTATATAGTTGGCATGAGTGAACCAATACTGCTTGCTCTCAGCTTGCTTGTTGGTATTTCCCTATATCTCAACTCTGCTCCTCCCCCGGCAGTTGCGTTGACAGAAATCCATCAAGCTATAGTCTGTGACAAAAGATGGTTTATTCCGATACCATTTCTCCTGCATTCAGCAGTGAAGTTGAGTTGCATCGAAGTACAAGTATTCGGGGTGTTCAGTAGACCTCCTCTGAATTTCAAGAGCACTCCTCATGAGCCGAGACGGAGACGTTAGCGGCTGTTGCCATACTGTGGAACAAGACTAGTTATCATCATAAGCCCAACGCAGAGCATTCATGAACTCGTGGGCGAGCAACATCACACTAAGTTAATTCGGCAAAATGATCAGACTGGGATTTGAACCCACGACTGGTGATCTACTTCTAGTAGAAGTCTTCTACCTACGGCTTCTAGGGATCGCTGTCGGGACACGCCCCCCCCCTTTTGGGGGGCACTCAGCGGTGTGGGAAAATACGCTTAAGCGTATTGGGAATGCCCCAACAACCGTAGTACGGTTTCTGGTAGTTTTTGTCAAGTTGATAAGAAAAAGAACTTCTTTTTAGTCTTCTTCTTTTAAAGAAGGTCTTCCCCAGGGGAAGACCAGCTCAACTACATGCGGAGGTGACCTTTTGCGGAAATACTGAGGAATTCTCATTGGTTTCTGTCAATTTGTATGTAGACTTCTGTACTTGACAAGGAAGAATTCAGCTGAGTGAATCGAAAATATATTCCAACACTTCTCCTTACATCGAGTTTGACATTTCAAAACAAAGTCCGAGGCGCTTTTTTGTGGGCGAGCGAGATTTAAAGCGGCATTTTTGTCAAATTTGCACAATCACGCATCGCTCCGCTATCCGATACCAAAGTTGTCACATCTAACGCTATCATTCATCATTGTGTTATAACCATTATGAACCCAGAATAGTAAGTATAGGGACGGGGAGTATCGTATAATTCTATGGGAATTTTTGGGTCTCATTTTTCGTGAAATTTTTTTATGGGAAAATATTGAGAATTTTCCAGTTTGCATGAGTTATCATCAACCTCTTTTTGACAATAAGATATGTACAAGGCTTCGCCAACGGTGGCTTGACAAGAAGTTCAATACTTTCGCTCAAGGGTGACACATGGGAATTCGGTTTTTTTGTGGTATCAAAAGGGACGAGATCGTTTTTGTTCATTTTTAGCGACTACTTATTCAAGTTGTTGTTGATCGGCGATTCAGGCGTGGGGAAATCGTGTTTATTGCTGAGGTTTGCTGTAAGAAAACGAATGCAATTGGTAGAGTTCAACACAGATGTGATTTCAGGACGACACTTATACTGAATCTTACATTTCGACCATCGGGGTTGACTTCAAGATTCGCACCATTGAACTTGATGGAAAAACTATAAAATTGCAAATTGTAATAATGTGGAGAGAGTGAATTTTTACGGTGATTGTTTTTCCCAGTGGGACACGGCTGGCCAGGAGCGATTCAGAACGATAACTTCAAGTTACTATAGAGGAGCTCACGGCATCATAATTGTGTAAGAATTTCATATAAGTACAGTACGTGTGAATTTGATATTATGCGGAGAATGTGTGTTTTCTATTCCGGGATTAATGATAGTGAACAACTTGTCGCTATCATAGTCTCGAAAGGTTACTTTTATCACATCACATGTTCATAGCAATGTTTACATTGTTTATGCGATATAGTTTCAGATCTCGGAAAATAACTCAAATTTGCATCATATCAAATTGACACGCGCTGTATATGTGCAGATACGATGTAACGGATCGTGAAAGCTTCAACAATGTTAAACATTGGGTACAAGAAATTGACAAATATGCGACTGAGAATGTCAGCAAGCTGTTGGTCGGCAACAAGAGTGACCTCACATCAAAAAAGGTATTTTACATAGTGTTGGAAAATATGCACATGGTCAGTGAAATGTGTTGGTGAGAATACAAAATTTTTGGATAGTCTTATTGGTTCCTGTGAACTTGTATAATTAGTGAGGAAACTCCTGAGCTCAGCTGAGGAAAGCAAACATATATTCCTACTCCAATACTGTGTTCACTCCTGAGCTCAGCTGAGGAAAGCAAACATATATTCCTACTCCAACACTGTTTTCACTCCTGAGCTCAGCTGAGGAAAGCAAACATATATTCCTACTCCAATACTGTGTTCACTCCTGAGATCAGCTGAGGAAAGCAAACATATATTCCTACTCCAATACTGTGTTCACTCCTGAGCTCAGCTGAGGAAAGCAAACATATATTCCTACTCCAATACTGTGTTCACTCCTGAGCTCAGCTGAGGAAAGCAAACATATATTCTTCTAACACTGACTCTTGCACTAGTGATAGCGACAGTTGTTGTTTTTTGTATATGTTGTTGGTCCGTATCGTCGTCAGGTTGTTACCTACGATGAGGGTAAGGAGTTGGCAGATCAGCTCGGAATTTCTTTTTTGGAAACTTCTGCGAAAAACTCGCACAACGTTGAGCAGGTGAATTCTTGAAAATTACGAAAATCGATGACTTTTGTTCTTTTACAGGCATTCATTGAAATGTCCAGAGGCATCAAGTCACGGGTTAAGACTACGCCCCAACCCAGTCGATCGGGTGCGGGCGGCCCTGCACGTCTTAGGTAATAGTGCTACAGTTGAGACGATTCGACGGTGGTGTGGTAGGCCGGGACAGCCTGCTCATGGCAATCAATCTGGGTGCTGCAGTGGGTGATTGAGGAGCCGTCTCGATAGCAGCTGGGCATTTCTTGTTGTTGTCATTTTCGACTGTCAACTGGGCATTTGAGATGCCGAATTCTGTGGTGGTGTCGAGATTGGTGCACGTGCTGTTGTCGAGGCTTAGAAAGCATTGATAGTCTTCGTAGATAGTAGTTTTATCATCCCATATACCTTTGTGTGTGAACCTTGTCGTGTTCTGAAGTTATGTGCGGGGAGTGGTATGGCATTTCCGGTGTTTCCTGGAGACTTGACTCAGTTTGCTCGGAAGGCATCAATGTATGTTCGCTTTCCTCAGCTGAGCTCGGTGGTAGTTTCCTTGTCTGGTGACGTTTGATAATCCTCTCATTATAAGACTTGAATAGTTTTGCTACCATAATGAGACTTGTGATGCTTCGGGATTCCAATCAATCCGAGGTATGCTTAAGAAAGTGAATATATCAGACAGCGTGTCCGAGTGATTAAGGAGGTGGACTAGAAATCCACTAGGCTCTGCCTGCGCAGGTTCGAATCCTGCCGCTGTCGTATAATACGGGAAAGCTTTGTGTCAAAGGCAAGGCGACTGCGCAATCCCGACAAGTAACACAATTATATCTTGCAGTGAATGTGGTGAAGTCCCAAGAAGGTGCCCATCACGACGACCACATCTGCTAGATTTGATGGAATCGTTTGATTTGTGAACACCATGTGTAGTACAAGTTCAGAGAGCTCTCAAAATAGAACCTATATAGACTTCTGAAGTCTATGCGACCAAGTCTCATTACTACTAGACAGGGCACTCCAGGGACAGCACATAGGCCTGCTAGTGATTCAGAGAGGCTTCATGCCCATCAACGAATATGACCTCAGACTTTACCTGATGTCTCACGTACCCGACGTGATGCGGCATCAGCGACTACAACCTGCCAACAGATTTCGGGATGCTCTCCCGAGAAACGGTCAGCGCGTACCTATGATCTCGCTCGCCCGGAAATCAACAGTGTTGGAATTTATGATCGCCTTCCTCAGCCGAGATTACGAGTATCCTTAGTGAAATTTACATACAATTTCGAGTAGGTACCTACAGAGACCAACGCGGAATTCCCAAAGTTTCCTCAGAATTTTCACATTGTGACCAACACGTGTAGTAAACCATATGCATATTTTATGTGAGCTCAGAGGTTAGTTCTTTCCCGGTTTCTATGCCGGTCTTCGGAGGAGGTTCGAAGCTCGGTGTATTCTCGTCGGTGCTAGGGAAGCACACGACCTATCGTTCTGAGCGTACCAAATTCGTAGGTTTCCTCGTGCCAATGACTCCTGCGTAGATGCTTCACTTCAGGATGCTACTGAAGACTTCTCTTACACCGAGTGCAAGTTGCTCAACAAAAAAGGGCTACTCGTGCTAATCAAAGTCGACTCTTCAACGCAAGAGCTCATCCTGGCTGCTGGGAGAGACAGAGTCTTCATCCCGGTATTTGACGTGCTCGGTGCGAAGAAGGTTGAGAATGAGGACGGGAAGGCTGGAAGCTTCCGGTTGGATTTTTGGGTGTGCCCTCAGCAGTACCTCGAGCCCTCTGTGAGGGAACTAAAGCAAGTTCGATGTAAGTCTTGGCTTCTTAGACTTGCCTTTGGCTTTGAGAAATAACGATTCCTAGTGTGATGATATTTACATGGGAAACTGATCGATGAATGTGTTCCTCGCCATACGGAAAATTCAAAATGAGGTCGTCTTGAAAACATTATAGGTTCCTGGATGATTCCTTGTTAGCAGTGCATTGTCATTTTCAGTGGCGTTCGAGAGCGACGAGGCTCGCACTGAATGGTACGAGACTTTGAGAGCAAAGCAAGCGGCTGGGAAGGTCTTGGTTTTTGTTAATCCTTATGGGGGAAAAAGGATCGCGAGAGAGCTCTTCCGCAAGTTCTTAAAGCCGATGTTTGCGATCGCCGATGTCGAGTGAGTTGAGCATAATATTGGAGGATTTCATGTTGATCGTTCTCCTCAGCTGAGCTCAGCCGAGTTTCCTCCCTAATTATAGGCATTCGGTTAGGAGTGTACAATAATAAATTTCAAAATTCCCTCAGAAGCATGTTCTTTGCACACTGGTTGAGCGTGTATGTGTTTGTCCATGAGTGCTGTCGTTAGGTATGATAAAGTAGAGACGACTCACCGAATGCACATAGAAGAAGATTGCGAGCGTTTGAATGTCGACCGCTACAGAATGGTCATTGTTATTGGTGGCGACGGTACCGTCGGTAGGACTTTGCGAACAGTTTTCTTGGAATTACTATTATTGCCTTTTCAGATGAGGCTGTCAATGGTCTATCTAGGAATCCAGATCCACGGGCTAGGTTCGTGCCTGTGGGTCAGCTGCCTGGCGGCACTGCTAATGCTCTGGCTGAAGTCCGCGGCGTTGCGAACCCCCTCACGGCATCGTTTTACTCTGCAAAAGGATCGTATCGACCACTTGACGTGATGAAGGTTGTTAATGAGACTGGGACCATCGATATCATTGCAACGTGCATGGGTGAGTTCGCAGTTTTGGAGGAATATATGTTCGCTTTCACTCAGCTGAGCTTAGGAGTGAACACAGTGTTGGAGGAATATATGTTCGCTTCCACTCAGCTGAGCTTAGGAGTGAACACAGTGTTGGAGTAGGAATATATGTTTGCTTTCCTCAGCTGAGCTCAGGAGTGAACACAGTGTTGGAGGAATATATATTTGCTTTCCTCAGCTGAGCTCAGGAGCTTCCTCACTAATTATGGAGGTTTACATATGAATTAGGGTAGAAGTGTACAGAAATCAGCAAGAATTTTCCAAAAAAATTCTCAGAATTTTCACATTGTCACCACCAACACATGTAGTTGATCATGTGCATACTCTTCCCCCCGCACTGTGAATTCTAACTTGCTGTTCTCAGTGTCCCTCGGTTTTATCTCTTTCGTGAATATGAAGGCTCGTGGGTGGAGGGATCTCCTGGGAACTGCCAGGTGAGCCGCACTGGGAAACATATTGTCGCTCATACGTTTTATCGCAGATATGGTGTATGCGGCGCTCGCAGTGTTATCTGTGCCAAGGTGACGGATTACGAAGCTGATATCAAAACCGTTCATAATCTGTAGGCTCACTAGCTAGGAATTTTTCATAGTTTTTTTCAGGGATGATATGAATAGCCCATCACCTTGTAAGGGCTCGAGCCTGGTGGAAGATTCTAGAAGGAGTGGCGATAGCAATACGACTTCGGGAAAATTGAGCACGACTGACGACGTTGATGTCGATTTCACTGGTAGTGGCAGTGTGACGAAGACTAGGAGCGACAAGGGAAGCTACGATATCGTCAGTCCTGAGCTCTTCCGAGATGTTCATAATAAACACATCGTGAGTTGGTCTAATTCGCCTGTGAATGCGCGGTTTTGTCCACAAGGAATCCTCCAGAAACCTATAATATTCCCGGGAGAACTCGTTTTCGATGTTCTTCAATCAGTTTCCCATGAAAATGTCATCACATTAGTAGCATTCTCTTTGTTTTTATCTCACCCGGGGACGTATATCTATGAGAACTAAATTTGTCTTTGCTTGTGTAGTATCCTCCGCCCAAGAATTTTGCCCCTTGTTCCGTCGGTGACGAGCTGAAGCGGAGCGAGAGTATGTTCCTGACTACAAATCGCAACAAGGTGAGTTTGAAGCCCAGTTGAAGTTTCTGGGGAATTTTCATTTGTGGTAGGTTCAGCTACTACACTATTTTTCACTGATTGGTTTACATAAATCGGCAACGGCTCTAAAGGATGCTACGGGGCATCGTCCCACTTTTGATATTGAGTGAGAATAGCAGTAGTAGATCTCAGGAGAAGCTTGGTCCCTTATCGCAGGCATGGCGTACAGCGAGTGGAGTTGAAGCCTAAGGGGAAGATTGCTGATAAACATAAGATTGCGTATAGCATTGTAGGGGCTTCGCATCGCTTTTATGGTTATTGACAAATCTTCAGGATGGGGAGTGTTATTGGTCCGATTCAACTCTGACGGTTATATATCTGCCGAACTTCTGCTATATGATTGGTCATCCTGTTTCTGGCAACAGCGAAAGCGAAGGATCTCTGAGGAGGACGTCATATTTGCAGGCAATAAAAAATGGGATGTTCTATAGGGGGGTTGGGGTGAAATTAGTAGCGTGGTATCGCTTTAGGGTGATGGCTAACACTAATTTTCTTGGGAGAAAATTCGTGAAATTTTGTATTCATGCATTGGTTGATATGCGGCGGTTTTGGCGTCAATTTGGTGTCTGTTGAACGAAATTTTATAGGGGGGACGTAGGGATAGACAATCTCAGATAGTAGGGAAAAATCGCAAAATTACGTACCCTTTTTTCTGGCTGTTTCGGGGTATGGTTTCGCGGAACAGCACATATGAAAGGACCTGTATGACGTTTAATATGGCAATGATATGGAGCGTTTGTCTATGCTTATTTATGTTGAATATTTTGGTCTACTGTGACTTTCGATTCCTGTTGCGATGGTAATAATCGTCGAATGGCGAGGTCCATGAAAGTCGGGTGAATAATATCAATTTTACGGAGCATATCATCGTGGCGAATAGTGAATTTGCGTTAGTGGTTGTGTGGAATTTATGGTAGGATGAGAGAAATCATTGCGGTTTAGGTGCCTTGTGCATCTGAAGTGTCGCGGCTCCGTACGGACTGCGTATGACGATGATAATAGGGAGGGCCGCGTCTGTGGCTCTTCTGTTATTGGGGATTTTTCCGTCTTGATCACCAGTTATGTGTGAAGAAATTTTCGCCTTGGTCTCGAGGCTATCTCATTCGTATCATATG